CTCTAATGCACAAATAGATACAGATTTAAAGGCAGTATTTCTAGCAATATTTGAATCTTGTTAGGGTTTGCTGTCCCTCAGTGCAAACTTACCTTAAAGAATTTCATGCTCTTAAACATATACAACAAATATTGATGATTGCATTTGTCTAAGTCAGTTAATTGGTGGCTATAAAAAAAAATACATTGCATAAGGAAACTGTGAAAATATCAAAAGGTTTTTTTTTTCCTTGACAAGTACTCCTTAAATAGAACTAAAAAGATTTTTCTTTCTTTGCAATTTAGTTTTAGATTATATTACACAATATATCATTGTGACTGACAGTACTTAACATTTAGATATTGTTGACCTATGTGATGTGTCAGGTTTCAAAAGGTTCCTAAAGAAACCTTGAAAATACTTCCACATAGTCAGTGCAACCCAAGGAGTCAATTTGCCCTGTGGATAAATAAATATGATATTACCTAATGCTCTAAATTAAAATGCATTAAATTTCCTGGGATGGTTGGTTGAAACATAAGTCTTCCTGGCTGGCAGACAATATTAATAATCTAAATTTTCAACCAACTGAAGTTATACATCTTTCAGTGGTTTACTTGAATTACATTCTATAGACCTAAATACAGAGGTTTAATTATCTTTTAGGTTCAAACCATTACAATTCCAAATGCCACAGATTTTCACATAATATGAGTGGTGACCATAAGAACTAGCTAGCCTGCTTTATAATCCATTTTCAAGGTATAAAGTTGCACATCGGGTATAAATAACATGAGATCACACTCGCATAGGTTTTAACATTCTCAGACCTCTGTTCTTATCTCTGTGGTTAATGAATTAAATAAAAGTTTCCTTGAAAACATTTATTGAAACATTTGCAGTTTCCTATGTATAAATATTTATTTTACAGAAATGCACATACACATAAAATCAGTCATCTTGAGACTTGGGACTACTATGGAATGTAAAATCTGATTACACAACAGAGGAGATAAAACGCCAAGTCAGTCAGCTCCACAATGAGCTTTATGGAAATAAAATGCTTCTCTATATTAGCACCAAGACAATGTTTCTTCTATTGCAAAAAGCTATGCATGTGAAGGAATAAGGGAAGGAGGAGAGATGAACAAGGGAAACATCGAAAGATCTCAGGAAAACAGAAACTTCAAGCACCTGATTACTAGATGCTGAAAGGAAAGAGACCTCAGAACATAAAAACTTCACTGGGAAGGGAGGTGGTAGAACAAATCAAGAAGTCTTACCATTTAATTACCTACAGTGTTACCTAAGTATTACCTGCAGGTAAGTAAAACCTGTCCATAAAAAAAAGGAAAAAACCCCATCCAACACCAAGAGGTCAAAAAGAACACGGATAACAGCAATCGAATTTCTGTAGTCTACTGGGATTTCAGAGTAATTTCTGAAGAAGTCATTCAACAACAGCTTTGAACTAAGCAGCGACGAGGTAAGATGGAAGTTCCATGCACAAACAAACAGGCAAAGAAAAAGAAAGAGAAGGTAGGAGCAAACCATTTGTTCCAGCTTGGAGGGAGGTTGCTGCAAATTCATGAAGTCTGTGCTGGAAAGCAAAACTCAGAAGTGATATAGAAAAGAGCGCAAGTGGCAAGATGACCAAGTTTGCTCAGTACAGACATGCAATGTAGTGAAAACAAGAGCTGGCAAAGACGAACTGACAGAAGGATCATACGGGACAGAGTGACTATGTAATAAGAAAGCTAAATTCAACACAGATAAGTGTACGGTGAGGCACAAGGTAGAAGACAACCCTAAAATTTATAGAAGATGATGAGCACCAAGATAGTATTATTCAAAACTTTGAATTTATGACAGACAGTAACATGAAAGTACCAGTTCAATGCATGAAGTAGATAAAAGCAGAATAAAATAATTAAGAAAGGAAGACAGAATGAAACAGAACACATTACTACAGAATCATAGGGTAATTCAGCTCAGAAGTCTCTTTTTGAACCTCCCACTCAAAGCAGGATGTCACCTCATGAGATCAGACCAGGCTGGTCAGGGCTTTTTTCAGGCACATCTTAAAAGCCTTCAAGGTTCAACAGAGCATGCACAGCCTTTCTGGGCAACCTCCACTGCCCATCTGTCCTCATGGAAAAAAGTGCTTCTTATATCGAAGCCGAATTTCTCTTATCTCAACTTACTCCCATTGCCTCTCATCCTCCCAATATGCACTGCATTGAACCCATCTTCTCAAAGGTCACCTAACACAGACCATCCCCTAACTTCCCAGGTTGACTTTCTGGACTGTTTGAAGTCAAATCAGAAACTTCTTTGATTCTCCATGACCTTTCAAAGATGATAGCAAGCTGCCTTGCTGAGACTTTCCCCCATTCTCTCAGCACCACTGGATGCAGCTCAGTGGGTCCTGTGGACTTATGCAGGTGAGGTTTCCTTGAGTGATCTCTGACTTAATCCTTAACCCCTGCTCAGACTTCCTCTCTCCCAACTAAGCACAGTGGTCTGGAAGCCTTATTTAAGCCTGCTGTTACTAAATTACCTGCTCTATTCAATAACAGAACAGTGGTCTCCTTGCTCAGCCTTTTATGACTAGTGTAGCAACAAAACCTCTTCTTGTTACCCTAGACATCCCTTGAGGCATCAATTCTAGGCTTTCACTTTCTTAACACCATCCCCTCAGGCTTAGGCAACATTTCCAAACTCCTGAGTGGCTCATCTCTGCGTCCAGATCCCCCACACTCCCTGCTTGCATGAGTTTCCTGAGCAGCAGAATGGACCCTTCTTGCAACTAGAGGATGTTGCCAGCTTTCTTGAGCTCCTCTGCCCTTCAGAGCTGCCTTCTATGGGATCCCAGATACCAGCTCCCTGAAGAAGTCAAAGTCTGCTCTGCTGAACTCTAAGGTCTGTAGCCTGCTACTCCCTCCTCACTCCCATCAGGAGTGTAAACTGCACTATTTCATGATAACTGCAGTCAAGAGTATCCACACTACTACATCTCCAACCAGCAAGTGTCAGGATGTTTATTAAAGTTCCCCATGGGAACCACAGACCATGATGCAGACTACCTTGCCTTTAAAGAAAGCTTTGTCCACATCCTCATCCTGAGTAGGGTGGTCTGTAACAGACTAACCAGGGTAATAACTTTACCAGCCTCTCCTCTGATCCTGACCCACAAATTCTCATCTTAAACTGTCATCTTGTCCCACAGAAGCACTGCATACGTTCAAGCTGCTCCTTCACAAGGAAGGCAACACCCTTCCTTGTCATCCCTACTTGTCTTTCCTGAAGAGCCTGTATCTGTCCATCGTACCACCTCATAAATTCAGAGCCCACTCACACCTTGAGAACTTTCCTGGTCCCCCAGCTAAAATGCTACTAGAGCTAGAAGGGATCTGGAGAACCGCAACAAGGCGGATCAGAGGTTAGAACAGATTCTATACAGGCAACAGCTCAGCAGTCAGCTTGGAAAAAAGACCACCGACCTCTTGAAAGAGAGTATGGCAGCAGTCCAAAGAACTGTGACGGCAATCAGCTTTTAACTGTCTTGTCCACCAGAATACATGGAAGCCACCAGACAAAGCTAGTGGGACCCAGGTTCAAAAAACAAACAAAAACGAGGTGGTTCTTCATGCAACAGGGAGCACAACTATGGAATTCCTACCCAAAGTACCCTACGGGTGCAAGAAGTTTGCAAGGTTCAAGGGAGGCAAGTACATAAAAGAGAGGTCCACTGGGGATTACCAGCTAAACAAACTGCAAAGGATCAAGAAAATCCCCCAAGACGAAAGCACTTCGAGTGTTTTGACAGAAAAGTATCATGAGTACTGTTTGTTCTCCTCTGTAAGCATCCATCTGCACAAACTGCTAGGCAGAACATCTATCTAAACGGACTCAGCCTGAAGTACAACAGCTATCACTATGAAAGTAACAATATCAGTTTATCTGAAGTGCTTCAGCCTGACAGTAATTTGTTAAAAATGAGTTATGATTATTTTATTTGCTTCCTCTCAAAATGTCAGACTATGAAGAGTTACAATATGCTGAATTTGCTACTTGTAGACTAAAAATTAATTTCACCCTATTGTATTCCTGTTTCACCCACAGTTTTTCTATGGGTTTGGATGCTCATGAATATATCTACAGATTATTTACAGCAACATACCTAGATTTACCAATCACTTCTTAAAAACAAACAAAAAAACCCTCCTCTTAAAAGACAGATACATAAAGTTTATGTACCATGAATTATTGGTATTAGAGCATTAGATTTCCCTAGACAAGCTGCAATATCTGTACTCATTTCCCTATTGACCCTGTCTTTTTTTAAAAAGGTAGCTTTTAATTCAGCTATATATACACAAAAACAGACTAAGAGCACACATATTGGCTCTATTAGGTAAAACAACCCAAAACAGACAAAATTGCAACCATATCAGACCTTCACTTTCCTCCTTCTCAAGTTTCCTTCTCTATCAGTTACTCCTTCTTTAACCCTACTCAGCTATCTATTCTTTTGTAGCTATTCTAGTAAACACTCCATGATTAAGGGTGTCTCATTGCCTCTACCTACCTCCATTGTCGGCCACCCCCTTTCAGTCATTCATATGCATTCCTCTTAACATAAAAAAAAAAAAATCTGTTCCTCATCTGTAATCCAATTTTCACATGTTTTTAGGCATCCACAATTGTCATTGATGTCAGCATGAATTGCAGACACCCAGGATCTTCAGAGGCTCAACTCCTTGTCTTCAACAACTTTTTAATAAGAAACATTTTGAAGCTTCACTTAGTTATTTTACAACACTTTCTACACTTCAGTCAGACTTACGGATGAACATATTAAGAGATGCAACAAATAAGTAATGCTAAAAAACACCCCATGCAGTGGCCTAAACTTCCCAGGAAACTGGGTATCTTAAGTTATTCACTTAAAATAAGATAACTCGCCTCACTCTAAATACAATGGAGAGTATACACAGCTAATCAAAGAGGGTGCTTACCTGAATGACAGCACTAAACCAGCATGTGTTGCCAACATTCTTTAATCCTACTGGACAGTTGTCTTGCCGCTTTCGATCATAAGGGTTTGGAGAGTCACTCCATACCTCAGGATGTGTCCTCTTTAAACTTGCTTTATTTTCTGCAATACTGGCTTCTAGAACTCTTCAGGAAGACAAGGAAGGGAAAAATGTGAGAGAAAGAAAAAAAAAAAACAAAACAAAACAAAAACAAAAACCCCAAACAAAGTAAACCACCTTCAGTTACTAATACAGACATCTAAATAACATCATTCACTAACTTACTGTTGCTGAACTTGGTTTTAAATTTATGTGCAGTAATATGTCTTCAAAAGCAAGATGCTATTTTACTTTTCGATATGTTACAGCAATTCCATTACCTTTTAGGAAGTGATATTTAGTGAGTGAGTGAATCTCTTGTGAGAGCTCTAGATACAAGCGCCATGTCTGTAAGTCATCAATTATTTAACAACCAGATTCACATAGCATGGACAACAAGAAATATTAGGCAGCACTATTAGTGTAGTGCTTCCAGCTACAAATGCTTTTATTGGCATGCAAAGCACAAAGTCACCAATATTTATTTTACTAACAGGAAACCAAAGCTAACCAGGCAAGTCTCAAAAATGGAAGACACTTTTTCAGTTTACATTTTTGCAACTGATTGCTTTACATAGCAAGTAATTACTTTATGAGCCATGGAAAGATATCTCACCACAAATTTTCAAAGGCCAGCCAACAAGTTAATTGTACATTTCAATAACCACACTCTGCAGGAAACTGTTCCTATGTGATTTATACTGAATGTCTATGTTTCACATGACAGTAAGAGCTGATGTGTGTTATGCTCCCAAACTCAAGCTTCACTTAACACAGTATTTCTATATCAGCACATATCCTTAGCCTGGTGATAAAGAACACCTTAAAGGTAATTTGTGGTAGCCACATACTCTAAATAGAAAAATGGAGATGAATACATTCAGGCATGTGTACTACTGACACAGTCACTACCCTCAACCATCTAGTCCGACTAGCATACAGAAGGCTGAGCTGCTGTTGAACTACTGTGTTTGCCAAGCACAGGATTTCAGGAGCTTCATGCCAAGCATCAAAGTAGTCTGTGCAGACTGAGTGGTTGTCCCTTTCGGTTCTAGACTCACTGAACACCAAAGAAAGGCAAGTCTAGGCTGGTCTGTAAATGGAGTTACTGAAGTACAAAGTTTGAACAACTTAACAAAAAATCAAAGAAACAAGGGGGGGAAAAAACCCAAACCATACTAAAAGCCAAAAAAAGCACAACCACATGACATAATTCCTCAGTTTCCTATCTGTAAAGTTTTCTTTCAAGCTATGCTCTTCTCAAAGCAAGAAAAGGTATCTTACAAGGTATACAAGACTATGACACATTACATGAATTTACTGAAGATAACTGCTTTGAGGGACATACTGATTTTGTTATTACTACTTATTTAAAAAAAAAAAAACAAAAACAGAGGCATTCAGAATTTGAGAGCCTATTTGGTATACATACCATATATGTATCAATATATCTTGGGAAGAACCTAAAACTAATCCTTTCCTAAGGATTAATCAGTTCCTGACATTTATTTTTTGACATATAAACTCATAAACCTTTTTTCAAAAGACACTGAGAGGACAGGTATATAATCCTCAGACTTTCTGCTCTGACATCTCTTAAAACAATGCATAGGGATGGAACCTGATTCATCAGTGGTAAAAGACTCTTGTACTAGTAATAATAATGTTATCTCCTAAGCAAACCCCAAAATTTAAAGAAACAGTCAAATTCATGTCCCTTCTCATTGATACAATCCTTCTGAAGTGTTAGATGACCATCATATATCTACTTTGAGAGTAACTGTTATTTGATGGAGACATTAAAAATTAATTCAAAACAAATGTCATACATGTTTCAAATAATTTCCCATTCAGGTAGAATTACATAAATTCTTGTTTAAACTAAATTGAAGGGAACTTTAAAACTGACAGGAAGACTCTGACAGACTGGAATAAATTTAGAATACTGTAATAGGACTACAATACCTACTTCATACCTCTTTTGTTTCACGGAAACAATCAAACTTCAAGTTCAGAAAAATATATATTCTCAAATTGAAACAGTTCACTGACCCCAAGGGTATTACAATTTACCAACTTATTTATCTACTAAAATTTCTTCCTTGTATTTTTTTTTTAATTTCTTTATCAGATGAGGTATTTCCTCATCTCCAGCTCCACCTCAAATCTATTTCTATCAAAGTATTTGCCTGTCAAAGCTTCACGATATTTTTCCTTATTTTTACTTATAACACTATCTGTCCTCAGAGAGCACATGCAATAGCTGCACACCCTACGTGCCAAATTCATTTTCAGCCATAATGATAGCTATGATGCAAACTGAAATAAAAATGAGCACAGTAAACAGTAACCTAATGATCAGCTCAAAAGCTACAGAAATAAATGTATTTACCAGCATAGTGAGTATACTCCTTACACTATAATGTTCACTACATTATATTCCTACAGTCCTGATTTGGGAGACTACTTTTACAAAGCATCTTACTCACACATTGCTCTCAACAAAACGAGCACCTTTCCAGAAAGTTAGTACAAGGATTTAGCAATTCTGATTACGTAGCCAGAACACCCTCTTTGAAACCCTTGGAGACCACAGCAGCAGTCAGTCCCTAGCAGCAGAGCTGTAAGCTTTGTGCAGGGTATGGCATGTCTCTAGCCTCACAGGACCAAAGGCTTCCCCGCCTCCACGTGTTGGAACCTTGTTTGGAGGGAAACTCTGAAGTGAGGGTTAGTTAATGCCAGGCTTGGCACGGGATTTGTAAGCAGTGGTTTATTTCTCTCCGTAAAAAGCTGGGCACAGCCAAGCAGCTTTGCAGAGCTGCTTGCATGAGGCCAACCAGACAAAGCAATAGGCCTTAGGCAAAGTGAGACCACTGCACAGAAGTCCAACCAAACCATTTTGAGGAAGCTCAAGAAACATTCTACAGAAAAGCCCACTCTGGCAGGCTACTCAACCAACAGAACAAGGAAAGGTCTTTGTACTGTGACTGTCTTATAGCTGGACATCCAGGAACACCCCCAACCCTACATTCCTCCCCAGTTTTACCTTTGATCTACACTCACAATGCTTAACGACAGTGCAGAGTCCCCAGCAGTTTCAACAACCATGTCAAAAAAATAAAAAAATCATCTAGGGGTTGTGCACATCCTCATGCACTTACAGTATGGGCTGTCATTTTAACACAGCTCCTACCCTAGGCACAACATGGGCCAGTTAATTTCTCCTTTCAGTCATATCTTACTAGCTTCCCCAGTGAAGCCCTGTCTGGCTAGCATCATACTCCTTCAATTCATGAAAAGTAATATAAACAGGAGAAACTTTTTAATATTATGAAATACACTGACCATGCACATTTCCCTGCGAGATTTAAAGAGGGAATAATAAAAAACTTCAACCATGCTATGTACAGGATGTTCAGCTTGGACATTCGGACATTTCATCTGCACTCCTCTCAATACTTACACAGCAATCAGAACTGTCCTCATCTTAACTGCCCTCCTAGCACAGGGCAATTACATTCAGTAAGACAAATTTTATGTGATTACAACATTAATTACATGAGTCAAGAAATTCCATTTATGCTCCCTTGGAATCCTTAACAAAATCAGTGCAAATTAGGTTCCAAACCACTATGAGTACCTTTGGAAAAAAAAAATATCCTCCAGACCAGATTATTTAAAAAGGCACAGATCATACATTATTAAAAATTAAAGATTTCCATAGTTTAATTTGCTTATTATTGACTTCCTATTTGATTTCTGCTTCTTATTTAACCTAGAAAAGCAAAAGTAAATGGCTGCAGTTTGACTTGTTTACAATCACAGTGTTCTAATTTTTGTTTTGAGAAGTCCTGCACAGATACTGTGCTTTCTATTGGAATGCCAACATTCTTCTGTGGGGTGTTAACTACAAAGTGATTTTTTTCAATAAATAAAAAAAAAAAACCAAAACCAAAAAACAGTCTGAAGTCCTGTCCTTCCTGTCCTTAAGAAAACTGATTCAACAGTTCAGATCAAGAATTAAAGAATTCTCAACTTCCTATATTTGTACAACTCTGACATAATCCATCATCAAACAACTCATGGTACGTGAGTTGATCTAATACCCTAATGCTGCCAAAACTCCCAAAATTCTCACTCCACCTCCATTCACGAACAAAGTCCCCATTTCCCTTTCTTGTACCATGATGCACTCTGGATCTTTTAGTGAATATTTCTGTATGGCTTTAGGAGATGAATTCATGCAACAAATGCTCCAAAGAATATTACAGCAAGTATATAAGATGTGGTAGCAACATGTTCTTAATTTGGCACATGCTATTGTGTGTAATTTTGCCATCAAATATACATCTCTGCTCCATCAGAAGACCAACATTTTTCTCTGTACATAACTGAACAGATTGTATACATACCTTTGTACACATGGAAAAAAAAATTGGTATACTTTCTTATTCTCTGCAACCAGAAAAAATACACCACTATTTAAGTAGAATGTATTTATAATACTTAGTTATGGGCTAAGCAGATAAGACCAAAAAGGGCTTTTTAGTCTGAGAAGTGAAAAGACAAAGTCTACAGGAAAAAAACTAAAGCTTCAAGGCTCCCAACAAGTGAGTACAGCAGAAGCAGTCAAAGCTTGGGGAAGGGAGAAAAAAAAAAAAAAAAAAAAAAGGAAAAATATTTCCATATGCAGAAATAGGTCCACTGACAGTCTGCCTGAATCTCAATTCTGAAATTATAACAATTCTGTCCTTCAAAAAGGAACATGCAAGAGCTGAACTTATGAATCAGAACTTCCACCATAATCTTGTATATATGCACATACCTGAGACCTTAGAAGAAAACAACACCTTAAAATCTTCTTCCTATTATTAATGAAAATATAAATCCCTCTCATTCCACCTTTACCTCCTAAAATAGGTTATCTTAAACTCATACAAAAAGATGGCTTTTATAGAAAATGGGAGGAGAGAGGGAGGAGTATGTTTATTCTCACAATTAGTACATTTATTTTTTCAACAGGAAAAAGAAAATGATTATGAATAAAGTAACACTCTCCATATTCTCAGAGTTGGACTTTTCTGATAAGCCATTTAGTCTGACAAATACAGTGAACTGAGGAGAAGAATTATTGTGGTGAATCTCCCTCATCTAAATAATTTTTGAATAAAATTTGTCTTTTACAAGGAGGCAGTAATTAACCTTCTAACAGGAGGATCAAATCATCACCCTTTTTCTCTAGAACAAGGCCAGACACAGACAAAAAAAACCCCCAATATCCTTGCCAAGGCCAGTCACAGATGAAAAAAACAACACCCCTCCCACACAACCCTACACCCGGGCTTAGTTCAAGTCCCAAATGTTTCATAATTACATCTGTATTTACATATACACATACACTGTACAAAAAGTTATTGAAAAATCTGACCAAAAGTCAACTTACAGATTCATCACACCCAAGTTGAGAAAGTTAACTTCATAAAACTTTAAACCAAAAAGTTAACTTCACTCAAAGCTTCTAAATACGATTTGTTAAATAGGTTAATAACATACTTAATCAGCTAAAATACAGCAGCTGCTCTTAGTTTACTCAAGTCATAGCATTACTATCCCCTCCCTCAACCTCAGCCTTAGCAGAGAGGTAAGAAAATATTATTGCAAAATTAACACTGCAAAAAAAACAGGACAAAGAATTCATCTTCTTAATTACATTTTTTTCATTGCTTTTTACCTGATACACAGGAGAAACTTTTAGTTTTAGATCCTATTTAAACATGACTGTATATCCTCTATCTCTATCCACTTCCTGAATATTTAAACAAATATATGAACATGAAACATACTATCAAATCCTAACCCACACATAATAGACTATTTTCCAGTGTAGAATATACATTACATTAAAGCAACATCCTGAAGCCAGGCATATCAGTAGCACAAGTGAAAGTAAACAAGTTATTATTTGTTAAATTGAAAGTTAAAAAAGCAATACAGGCCAATCTCCAACTCTTTAATTTAATTTCTGCTTTATATAAGTTATTTGTTTACCTGCTAATGGCTTGTTCCTCATCTGTTATTCCAGTCTCCCTGAATGCCCTGTTTGATTCCTCCAAACTCAAGGCAATTGCCCTCTGAAGATCATCTTTATCATCTCCAGTGAGATCAATCACATCTGAAAAGCAAAACTATCTTTCTCAAAATTAAAAGTGAAACAGAATGAAAGGCAAGTCTTACTGTAGAGGAGAGAGAGCCCACATGGATTGCTAAGTGCCATTCCAGTCCATCCCTCCTATGCCTTGTGCTCTTCCAACCACTAACCCTGCTAACAGCTCCCTTCTGCCTCCAAGCCCAACAAAAAACCTCAGCAGCTTGCTCTTGCTAAGCTATGACGGGCAATAATCTTCCTTCTTCCTAACGATCTTAAGTTTCACAAAGCTATGGGACAAATTTAGAAATCCATGGTTTCTGAAAGCTCTCCTAAAGCAATACACTTCAGTTTATTACTTCAGCTGCTGTAATCAGTTGCTTCCAGGGAACACATGATGAAGACAACCTTCTCTTAAAAAGGATACCTTAACTGAGCATAGTTGGTTGTCCCTTCTCACAGAGGGATGTGTGCAGAGTTCTCCCAATAGAGCCCCAAATTCTACAAGTATTTCTGTGCACTGGTGAGCCAAATACTTTCACACAGTTTCAAAATATGTGAGAGAGTTCCTTACTTAACCCAATTCTTTTCTATTCAGTCTGTGCATTCCTTTTCTAACAGTATTTGAAACCAATTTCTGTCTATTGGAAGTATCCTATCTCAACAGAAGCACTAAGAAAACAAACACTGAAGTCAAAATGAGGATCCATACTTGGACACATGGGGAATGCTGGATGGGCTACTGACTGGGTAATGAAGACGAAAACAACCCTACTCCCATTAGCTAAAGAATAAGATACTAATGTCCCCGTCAACCTCAGTGTTTCCCAAGGGCAGCAACAACTGCTCCTGCTCCTGAGGAAGGAGGGATTTCACTACCCATATCACACAGCAACACCAACCATCACCTCGTCAGGCACAGTCACTCTTTCAGAGCAGCCAGGGCCAACAGGAACGTCCATCAACTGCACAAAACCTTCAGAAAAGCCAAGGTCATTGGTTATCATGATTTCCAGGGACAAAAGTCTCATTTTGCAAGTCAGTCAGAGAGAGGAAAGTGCACAAGAAACTTATGTGCAATATTAGATAGACACACACACATAGAGTTGTTGGCTGGTTTCAGTTTCCCTCCTCCAAGGCCAAAATTTACCCAAAGAGCTACAAAAGGGCCTACTCTCCAGCCTGGAGTTTGGACAGTAGAAGCTAAAAGACTCTGGGAGAAAGAGATACAGATTTGAAACTGATGACTGCTTCAAAGAGGGATTAGCAGCTTGTCTGCCTTTCTCCTTCCACAGGGCAGCTCCATTACTCATACCCAAACTGCTTCTCCATCTAGCTTCTGACTTTTCTCCTGGATGGGCTGACTCGCTGTAGAGAGTGTTTTCCCTATTTCCTTGGCTTACTCATCTGTTACATTTCTCACTGGAACAAACTAAAACACTGAACTTGTACAAAAATCATTGCCGTAGCTGTGCATGAACAGAAAATTGGATGACTTGTCCTCACAGAAAGCTGAAACTGAACAGAAGTTGTAAAAGAACCTTTTCTGTTAATACCAGCATCTGCAAAAATTACTTTTCAACTTAGCCCTTTCATCCCCCTAATAAAGATGGTCGAATTTCTATTTTATTTAGTGAGCCTTTAAAGGAAGTACTCTTATCTGCAAAGTAAACTGGGCAATCTGTCATGATCTGGAAGTATGGAAAAATGCTATGACCACAAAAGCAGCACTTCATAATTTTATTCTTAAGTCTTTTATAAAGTCAGCTCAGATCTTACAGCATATCGGCGCAACTCAGGTGCCTGAAATTCTCCTTCAGAAGTACTAAAGCATTACAAGACCCACCAGCAGAAGTCTCACCCAGAGGAGTCTTGATATATGAGCAGCCGTGTTGAGAACAATGTAATTCCGGCTAAAATAATACCTCAACCTGGGTCACATGCAAGCATGGCTCTGTTCTAGTCTGAGAGCAGAAGAAAGGCTAGAAAGGTTGATAGCAGTGAGAAGATCCTGCGACTACGGGCACTACCTATTACACTCTAAAATGTGGTGCTTATGTTGTATTTTTAACCCATCTGCCAGTGGTCACACACAAGCATCTCATCTCCCCTGAAGATGAGCTGTTTTTCTGAATGTAGTAATAGTAGTCACAACTGAACACGGAGTAAGTCTCAATCCAGCCACACACGGTGGTGGAGAAGTATGGAATTACGCCGATCACACACAGATGGGAATACTCCTTTAGCTAGCCTCTAGTCAGGCAAGAGTTATTAAATTCTTATATAACAATAAAGAAGAAAGCTAGTTTAAGAAGTAAGCTCCCTTATATGGGGAGTATTTTCCAGAAAAGAACACATAAGGTAGCTGAAAATTAAGTGGTTATCAAAAGCTCCCACTGTTTGCTTTTTTGGTGGGTTTTTTTTGTTTGGTTGAGTTTTTTTGGTTTTTTGGTGGGGTTTTTTTTTTTTAAATCTATCAAGGTCAACTCTGACTCACACTTTCATGAAATTATTCAACTTCTTTGCACCTCCCTAGCTCCTTAATCTTTATTAACCTATACCACCACCCTATGTGTTCAGAAGTTTATTACCACTGATATTACCAGTGATCCCATCACTTTAATATTAAAACTCAAATCCCTGACTTCCACTTGCTTTCAGAAAGCAGATCAACACAAGTTTCCTTTGGCATGCAAGGGTTTGGGAGCAAACAATACAGGATTGCCTTCAGAAGTGTTGTTTTCACATATACATTGTTCCTGACCTACACAAAAAAAGACAATACAGTGAAGACCTGCTGCCAGATACTACCACCGCCTGAATGGTGCAATTGACTCATGTCACACAGGGTTTACTTTGCATAACTTGTATCAGAAAAATACATTTCTAAATATCAGCTGGTCCATGGTAAGCTACTCTACACAAGCTTTTAGTTTGTAGCAAATGTAAAATAAAAGTGTTTTGGAGATTTAAGCTAACAAATTTTAGCTCATGTCTGCTGTACTTGGAGCAGGTCCAAGGTCCTCTTCTGCATCTCAGCTGGCACAGTAACACATTAAGCTGCAACAGCTCACATATGACTTGAATCCTAAATTACAAGATTATAAAGAGATCTCAATAGAAGTCATAACAGAAGGGGAACAGTCTGAGACTAAACTTTAAAAAAGAAAAAAAAAAACCCAGCTTGTCTGCACAGTTTGCATTTCTGCCAGTTTGTTAAAAATTATACAAATGTACATATATTACATGATATTCATACAGGGTTTTTTGGTTTTGTTTTAAAATATCTTAATGTTTTATAAATTCTTACATGGGATTTTTTTTTAAATGAAAAGATGTCAAATTTTCAAGCAGTTATTCTACAAGTATGATCACTTTGCCTTCTCTCACAACCATTAATAAGTTCAACAGTAGCTTAATTTTAAAATAGTTATTTAACTTCAACTTTATAATGTTACGTCAAACATTTTATTTATTATTTTTATTATATGTTTATTTAATAGCAATTAGTAGTGGAATTCATTCATGAAACTTATCTACTGAAGTTTTCTACCTGACCAACTAATTTCTGTGTTCAAGGTCCAACTTTGACAGAAGAAAAAAAGAGCTGACTTTTACCCAAAGTATTTATCCAACACAGAAGTTTCCTGTGATAGGCTGAAGGATGCATTTCATAAAGGTATTAAGAAAATGCCCCTTCTCCAAATGTGTAGTTACCCGACTTTAATTTACACATGCCAGTTTTGTAATAATTCTCTCATTTAGGTCACAGAACACTTGAGTTCTCCCTGGCTCATCCTCAAAAAGGTAGTTCTTACTGTATATCACTAGCCTTCAAAAACACAAAAGTTCTTAACTAAGCCAAAAGTACTAAATAAACAAAAAAGTTTGCTTCTGAAAGAATTCTTTATGAATGAAGAAATTGTTCATCAAAACAGTCTGGCTTGGTGCATTCATGATGTTTATTCAACTAAAATTAACAGGCAGCATTATTTGACTGTTTTGCTAAGAAATTTATTTTTGGTTTGCAACATTATTATATAATAATGTCCGCTCTGGTACATAACATCCAGAGAGGGTGACATCGTTTGTAATTCTACAAGCCAATTTTAAGCTGTATATTAAAATTTGTGACAAATATAGTAGTGTATATATAGCAAATAGACACACTCTTATCTATCCCCACATATCTTCTTTCTTTTCTAAGAAACCTCTTATCAATCTGTTTACTGAGGAAGTTTCTATCATAATTTAAATAAATGGTTCTTACTTGGTAATTGCCTAGGTCATTAAAATAATTACTGTGTTATTGACTTGTTACTTATACCAGGAAGAAGCAGAGAATAGGAACTTCAAACTTAAGTAGGCTGGGAAACTCAGCATGAGGGACAGATCTGAAGTAGCAATTGAACCCAGGGACAGGCAATAAACAACCACAGTGATGAAACTGCTGGCACAGGGACAGGAAAATGAAGGGGCAAGCCTGATGGGTTCAATGGACAGGTGCCAAGTATGAAAATCCAGCAGCAAGACTCCAATTTCAACACATCAACAATATGAAAATAGGAAAAAAAAAAAAAAAAAAGAAAAAAGGAAGTTGAGACTACACCAGTTTTGTTTATTACAAGCAGAGCAAAGCAAGATCCTTTATTCTACAGTCTATTCTGTGATTATGGTCTTGGGTTCCTACAAGAAGATTTAAAGGAATTTAATTAGCTGTATATGCCAATTTTGGTTAAAACTGGATGGGGAACCAATACACAGCATCCCAGCAGCTGCTTAGCCAACCCAAACAGCTCTGCTGATGAAAAGCTAACAAATGTTAGCCACCACTACCTCACAGGAACTTCCTCATCTCAGCTGCATTTACATTGTCCTAGGGATAACACCTGAAACTGACTGATTCTCACACTGACAGGGATGAGAAGGAGACAGGTAATAATGGAACAAAAGTGAATCTGTAAGATGAAAGGAGGACCTCAACATACAAGACTCATGACATTTTGAAGCAGGGACCCTGCCAATACAAAGCGCGAGACACTCCCAGGAACCCGGATGGAGATGACAATCCCTGAAATAGAAGGAAATGTCATGAGGACACAGCAATATATGAGTTAGGCAAGATGACAGAAGAAACTAGTGTCAAATTCTACTCATAGAAACAATAAAATGCACAGCTATAGAGTGAGAACTGACTAGGACTTGTGCCAAGAAGGATATAGAAGATACAGCTCTTTCATGTTCCACCTGCAATTCACACCATCTTAGTGTTGAAGAAAATATTAAGGTATGTTGTCAGAGTACTACATGGACTTTTATAGAGATTCATTCACCTATTTTTCTTTAGAACTCAGCTGAAGTCTTGGTTATTGTTTTGAGTGCCACAGTTCACAAAAAAGGCAGAACAATTAGAGAAGGTCTAGAGGAAAGAAAAAAAAAAACCTGACAATAGGTACAGGAAATGCATCCAAAGACTTGGAAAGAATTTGGACTGTTCAATTTAGATCTGTGAAAACTATGAAGGGACATTATAATACATTGTATTTGAGCATGCAACACTTCATCTTACACAAAAGGAATTAAGTGTACTATAATATCCACAGGAGACAGCACAAAGAGTAAAAGACTTAACCTGAAGCAAGAGGCATTTAGGCAAGACATTAGAAGTCTAAAGGTAAGGACTGCAAAGAACCAAAACAAATGACTCTATAAAACTTTTCACAGTCTCTAGAACAAAAGGGTTTAAGAAATACATTATATAAACATCACTTAGGGAGGTTTTAGGTGCAGTTAAGTCTACCTCATTGAAAAGGGTTTATTGAATGACTTTTGAAACCTATGCAAAGGCTCAAACTGTAGGAACAGGAAGATATAAAAGCCAGGTCCCTAGAAGCAACGAAGTCTACAACCCTCAAGTTGGTATATGTGGTATTTTATAGTTAGATTGCACTATGTCCTTATAAAAGGCCTTCAAATCTTTTGCCTTGGCTGTGGAATATGCAATTGCAAAGACTAATAATTCAGTTCTTGTGAAAAAGAATTCTGTTTTGAAAAGAAGGGAGGGAGAGAATTTGTCTTGATAGCTATTTCATCTGAAGACAATAAAACTTCTAAAATGTCTTTATGTCTTCTCTTCATTCGGCTGCTTCCTTCAACCCTGGGCTCTTTAAGTTTCTCAAATAATGAGAAGGAAATGGATAAATGCTTAGGAGTGCAACAGTTCTATTGTGCAGTCATAGATGACAATACACTGAACTACTGCAAATAAAAAAAAAGGTTTCTAGAGAAATCAATGAAGTGAGAATATTGAAAAGTACTACTAAATATATTTTCTTTTGCTCGAAGTGCAGTGCCTAGGATTTATGCTAAGTAGAACAATAAAGTGAACTTAGATTAAGAGGGGTTCACTTGTGTATTGCAACCCTAATACTTAAGCACTTTCTGCTCACTAACACTGCAGGAAGGAAAAAAATAAAAAGCCTTGGCAAAGGGATCTGCTAAAGCATGCATCACTTGACGTGAAAAAGCTGCACTTGCAGGTGCATGCACACACCACTTTGAACAGGCAAAAAGGAAAGCAGTATGAATATGCTAATTGTGCAAGTCAGCCTTTGCTTTTAAAGATGGAGTAAATTTTATGTAAACTCATTAATATTTTTGCAGCTGCTGAAATGTTGCATTTGCTAACAGGAGAAATTAGGTTTCCTTATACCTCCTAACACACAGAATGCAACTCTCAAACAGCTGAATGACCATTGTTACTTTTGGAAGAGCCAGTGCACAATCCAGGTTAACTGCTGATTGTTAAACTATGACTTCTTGTAATACACACTTTTATTCTACCCCTTAACTAAGTAACCATTTCAAAGAAATGTAGTCAGTCAAGCTCGCAGAATACATTTGATATACCTTTATGCAAGGCATATATTCAAAAGCCTTTGTAAGTGGCAGGAGCTTTTCTGAAGCATAAAAGATAGTTCTGCTATTTATCTGTAACTCCCTCTCATCCTCACTTTAGATGACTTAGCTTGGTGGGACCACGAAGCTCGGTGACTCATAACATTCTAAGTTCCCAGTGCACAGAGGTAGTTAAGCAGTAAGGAACAGTAAGGGTGAGTTGTAATTACCTTCACGTAATTATACCTACGTGGGACAGTAAAAGGAACTCAAATTTGAAAGGCAAGATACTGTCAGGAAGTCACCATAGTTACTGAGAAGTGCTAATAGCATTCTCTGCAGAGGAGAGTGTTGATGGTTGGAGCTATCACTGCTGAATAAATATGTTTTCCACCTAGACCCACCCTTCCATTCTCTTCTCTCAAGTCATCTGGTGTCTTTTCACCATACTCCCCTATATGACAGTACTTACCAATGCAGTGCCCTGAACATTGTTCATTTTAAGTGTATTGCATTTCTAAAATTCATAATCAAAATAATTACAGACAAATAGATCCCAACAGGAAGAACTATAGGATTCTGCAAGAAGCTTTCACTAGGTCTCTATAGATGGGGGAGGCTCTATGGTCAAGAGATTGATTTAGACTTTTGTTCTGCTGTGGGTCTTTAGTTCTTGCCCTGTGAGTCCTCCAACGTGAAGAAAAGTTTGCCAAAATGCCTTTATCTCAAACATGTTTGCAGTCTAACTAAAACAACAAAGGCTGGCAAAGGGTGCTCATCTTTGTTGCCAGTGAGGACATGACCAGACAATGGAGATGTTAAAAAAAAAAAAAAAAAGTTTGCCTGCTTCTTCCAGAGCAGTTGGTGCTTCTTGATTAGTGTCTTGTAGAGATACACAACTGTAAGGATGTGGGTCTGCCTTCAGCCCTCCAAAAAAGAGAAGAGAATCCTGAAATCCAGCTTGGAATATGCAATTTAAGACTTACTCTTTTCACTTTGACCATCACTCACGGGTAACGTAGACTCTGCAGGCTTGACTTTTCCCTCTCATACCCCTTGTCACCTCACATCTTCAATAAGGTTGCATAGCACAGTACATGACAGCAAAACTAAACACTTCTATTAATGGGATTGCTAATAAATCTAATTAAACACAGACTGCAAGAGAATCCAGTTTACTAGTCCACTGCCATAGTAGGTCTTCAGTACTGGAGACTATGACAATAGTGGTAAGTTTGTTGAAAATAGTCTCCATTTCCTCAATTTTCTGACACTGAAAACTAAATACATGTGGGGTTTTGTGTTTTCTTTACAAAGGAGGGAAAAGAAAAAAAAAATAAAATAAAACCCCACTCCCCACGACTTGGTGGGGAGATAATACAACTACCTATAATGAACTCAGGGCATTTTATATTGTTTAAATATTAATAATAATATATTTATATTACAGTTGCTAGTAATACCAAGGATTAAAATGCGATTTTCAGATCTAATGTTGAGAGTAAACTCATCTCTAATTAAAAAAAAAATAAAATAAAATTAAAAAAAATGTTTATGTCAAGATGCCAGAGACAAAAGAGACAATTGTACAACTAACAAGGAAATCTAACTAAACTTCTCTACAACAGTGCCACTGTAGCCACCTCAATATTAGTGAAGAAAAATCCAATGTGAGTTAAGCTAAATAATTCTACTCATTTAATAAAAGCTACATAGATGTATCTGACATATATGGTCAAAGAATCAATATGTAATTAAAATATTTTACATCTATGTTTAGAATGCTGGAATGTAAATAGTATCAAGAAACTTAGATTTTACAGAACTCAATCCCACTACAAAACTTCCTTAGACTTTTTCTTTCATATTATTTTCCCATATTTATTTGCAGAACGCATTTAACACATTTCTTCTCCCCCACCCCCCCCCATAAAAATAACTTTGCACTTAAGCAAAGGAATAGAACCTGCAAGGCTCACAGAAATACAGGTTGTGGGACCTCCTGCATCAACTAAATTAAATTGTTTAAAAATAAGTATATTTAATGTTAATTTCACATATAAAATACCTACTCTTTTACTACAAAATGCACAAATAACCTCTCACATCTCCCTTTGGAAAACTCATCCCTGTCGGGGAGAAGCTACTCTCAAGCTTATTTAGTTTTAGCATATTAAGACATTCAAAGACTCTTCTCCAATTTTAGTTTGACAGAAGAGTACCGAGCTTTTGCCTTTAACTATCTACTTCATGACCCTCAAATAAATTCTGTAATAGGGTAAAAAAAAAAAAAAGGAAAAAAAAAAAAGGCTGAAAACCCAGTTAATTCACCCTCTGATCAGTACCGTACATATATGTAAAGGTAATGCTTAGGGATAGCTCAAATAAAAAACCAAAATACACTGAAATAAGGAAAGGAAGAATACATAATAATCTAAAAATCATTAAGTAAGAATTATCAGCAGATCAATAGTCATCTCACAGGCAAGTTTTTAGTTTCCTTGCCTTTAAACTAAACTTATAAAAATAAAAATACCTACTGGTATCTGCCTGGCTGCCCACGCTGATGTATCTGTCATTTCCAGGAAGGGCTGTTTGATAGTAAGTTGCCTCCTCTAGCTGGGGAACCTTGGCATTCTTTGCAGTGAGGAAAGCCACAGCCAACTCCAGATTACCATTGCTGTCCTTTAAGCATCAACAAAACAAGAAGTGAGAGACCCCTCACCCTTTTCTTAACAGCAAAGCAAAACATAACAAGGAACTTAAAAGATCAATGACACATTTTATTTTCAGGTGAAATACTAATCAGAAAATAAAGTTTCCAAACTTGACGTATTCTGCATACTTCACTATTTTTAACCAAATTAAAGATAAAACATCTTAAAAAAATTTACTTAGGTGGAATTCCACTTATTTCAGAAAAAAAAATTATAGGTCTTGCAGTGTAGGTCAACCCCTCAACAAGCATAATCAGCACACTCTCACAGATATCAACAGCAGTCAGCTGAATTCTTCTGAAAATCTACCATTTCATTTTTAATGTCAGAAATACTAGCTTTTGAGGGGAAGTTGTGTACATGATTTATGTTCAATCTGAAGCAGCAACTATTCGGCAGGGGGATTGGACTAGATGATCTTTTGAGGTCCCTTCCAATCCCTAATATTCTGTGAGTCTGTGATTTAAATTCACTAAATCCTCGTTTACCAAGTATAAATGGCTAAAAAGCTCTACTTGAGGGAAGAAAAGCATTTTTTATTTTATTTACATATCTTTATTAAGGGAAACAGAACACAGAGAGACCTGCCATTCTTTACTTGCATCAAAGAACTCTTCTGTGCTGTGAAAGAATTTACAATGGTTGAAAAATACAGCAAAACAATAGCAACTTAGCAAAGGGTGGCAAGTTCAAGTAAAGTTCTTCATTCTACATACTGAGCAGAACCTGTCCACGATAGAAAACTCAACCACATCTTGACAAGAAACCACCACTTAACTCATCAGGAGTTGAACAGCTGTAGTAGCACCAAGGTATCTTAAAATACTTTAGCCAAAGGTTTAAAGCAAGTCATACCATTTATGTCTTTTCATTTCTGAACACCAGATTAATCTTTATGTCAGTACCAAAACAGATCAAGATTCTTCCTAAAGTGAACAAATTTCAACATTATTAGCTTTTTTCCCAGAAATAAATCTAAGAAGTATTCAAGCTGGGAATGGAAGACAAGGAAGATGAGCGTAAGAAAGAGCGGGGTTTGTGGCTTTCACAGGCAGTTAAGATGCACACATTCAGCTACAAGTCCGACACATTCATCTTACCTTCAGTGCCTGTTGTAGTACCTGGACGTCATTGATACCAGTGATCTCCCTCAGCTGATTTAAAAATGTTTGCTGATGCTAAAAACAAAAAGAGACCATCAAAATAAGAGCCAAATAACAGCAAAACCAATTACTTACAAAACTATGCTTTACTACAAACATTAAAAATATCTCTGTATAAGTTTTACGCACCACAAAGGGGTATAGCCTTTGTTATTCAAGTTTGTCTTAGTTTATGCAACTTGGGCACTTTTAACTCCCAAAAGTAATGTTTTCATTTGGTTGGTTTTGTTGGGGTTTTGTTTTGCTTTAAAACCAAAAAAATTGATGATGGGTGAGCTTATCCAGCGTGGGTTTAAGGAGCCTACATAAGCCACAATTGGCCTTCCTAAACAAATAAAACTCCATAGCTTGAGCTTCAAAGGCAGCAGGAAAAATAGTTGACTGAACACATATCAAAACCAGTTTCTTCAACTTCCGATTATTCTCAATCCTACTATTGCCTTAACATACACAATTCCCAACCATTCCAATCTCAAAACTAAGAAATGAATCCTTACTGATCATTTAGGTGTTTTAAGAGAAGTACTACAGAAATGTCAACACAAAACAGAGTTTCTCAAGACAAAAGCAAAACCTTAGGAATCCATCTTAACTGCTTTCCCAGACCAGTTGAATCCAGCTCTTCCAGATCACAATTATCAGTCAGCATCTGTGACTGAGTTTCAAGTAACACTTGGAGTTCGAAAAGAATAAGAGGTTCTGGATCTCTTAAATATTCAATTCATACGAATTTTGAGGCCTTTTTTTTTAAATCAAAATCTAATCCCACTCCTGCTTAGAGCCAACAGATTACTCCCTCCACTCATGATCAGATATCACATCACAGAAGCAAAAAGCAGGCACCAGGCTGGAACAAGCCTTGAACTCCAGTTAACCATTAAAACCATCTTAACCATTAAAACCATGAAAACAGAGAACTGACCATTGTTCCATACTAACAAATTCCATTCTTCCTTTGGCAGTTGGGAAAAGGAGAAAAGCTTGGTGGTATTTGCAAGTGGTTTTTCTTTTTTATTGTTCTCCCACCACACCCTAAACTCAAAACAATAATTTCATCTACTACAGACAAGATTTTGTAAAGTACAGGGTTTTATTGCTAGACAAAAAGCATTTCCTATCAGTGACAAATTAACATTCTCATGTTACTCTCCAAATTCAACTAAAAAAATCCAGCTCTTAATATCTTGCGACTACTTCTAAAACATTTTTCTTTAAAATGAATTATTTGGAATCAAATATTCAAATACCCTTATTCTCTCCTTATCACAGTTTTGTATAGAAGGGGAAATTAAGAGCTGCATGAATGCTGAATCCCCCAGTGTGAAATGAACCTGGCAGGCACTACTTCATGCCCTAATAAGTTGAAATAGAAGGCGTGTAGTTCAGGATGTTTATGAATTACATACACAATCTTCCCTTCATTTATGATCCTAAGGGACACTGCTAACAATCCAATTTGCCTTTTTTCTTTTCTTTTCAAGAACCCTGCTATTGGCAGAAGAGAAGCGATGCAGGAAAACAAACTCCCACTCTATCCCCATCCCTCACCCCTTTATTTGTTTACACTGTGCATTTCATAGCACTGTACAAAGGCAGGACTTGTTTCCCCTATAAAGTTGCTTTCCTGCCCCTGGGTCTGGCAAGAAGCAAAGAAAAGAAACAGAGTATTTGGGAAAAGTAATTAGAACAGCATTAAAACTGGCAGGAGCAATTCAAGGGCAGTGCATGGCAGCAAAATGGATTTCTTTTTGTATTGGCTACCAACGTGATGTTTAATAAAATGGAAAATAGTTTCACTATAAATTATTATAACAAGTTATAACAGATTTCTTTATCTTCCACAATATATACAACACTTGGAAAGGCTGACTGGAGGATATTCATTGTTCACAGATATTGGGAAAAGACAGAACAGACATAGTTTACCAACAAACAATCTCTTAGCAGTTCAAAATATTGGCTGTTAATTTATGAGCACAGCTGCGACTTATAAACCTAGACATCTGTAGTTTATATCCAGATTTCAATATTCTGGTATAAAGCTGTGGTTCGAGCCCCCCCTCCCAAGGACATACACATTCAAGAGATCAGAACCAGACCCAGAGATGCTCCTTTCTCATCAAGAGATCATTTAAGTACCTAAATACATTTTTAAGGCCGAGAGTTTAAGGCACTCGGCTCCAAAATTTCTAACTGCTAATTAAGTGAACAACCCAGAGAATTCATAAGAATCCTAGTTACAAGTGAAATAAATTAACAGGAAAATTAAGAGTTATCCTGAATACCTCAAATGGAGCTAAACTGCTTTGGGGCCATAAACATCTGATTTAGACATTACTGGCTTTTCAGATAAATGTGGATAAGCTGCCATTAATCTCTAATTGAGTTATTTCAAATCACACAAATTGAAGAATGACAATACACTACCCTTCCTAGAAGTAGGAAGAAAAAGATAAAAAGAAAGCAAAAAAAGAAAAGCATAATTTAAGTTGTTTCCACCTGAACAATGTGTTCTCTTAATACCTGCTAATGGAGTAACACATCTTCAGAAACAATTCTGAAACTGCATATGACAGCTAAAAACTCCTTAACACAGCATTAGATCAGTGGCCTTTTCCTCCATGCATTCACCACACTCCCCTCATCCTCTGAAATCTGACATAACCACACCCATCTTTACTGCGGACAGACCTTTCTTGCAACTGCACGTTTAACTTTGCCATTATTCTCCTTTACTATTAAACTGACAATATGCTATCACCCATGAAACTGCATTAATACAGGTGACTCTATATCTCTTTTCATTACAAATGACAGTGCAGGCAGTTACTACCAAACCCTTTCCTCGTTCATTAATCAGAGGGAGAAATTGTGAAATCTTTTTTTTTTTTTTTTTTTTTACCACTCAAGAAGTTTAAGAAACACAATTGTACTCAAATTCAGAGAGCTGAGATTACTTCTTTCTTGATGTAACTTTAATTTAGTGCATCTGCATTAGACTGTCAAAGTTAAAAACACGTGAAGCTTATTTGTTTTGAATTATATTTCTTTAATACATGCTGTTATGGCATATAGGATGATTTTAAAAAAAAATATTTTATTTTACTATTATCCATGACCAAAGTTTGGAGATTAATTTCTAATGCAACTGCTGAACAATTAAGTTTCTTCTGTATTGTAACTGATACTTAATAGAATACTTCGGACAGACTTCTACACACAAAGTGAGCCACCCTCTTTACTCCACCTACCCTGGAAGCTTTAGTCTTCCTGAAGCTTGGGCTATCTTGAGTTGAAGTGACTGTAGCACAGAGACCCTCAAATGTCCATGAACACTAATGTAATTATTCTAAACAATTATGATCATAATTCACTCAAAGGCTTACCAAAAATACAAAAAAGCTCACACTACACTTAAAGCAAAGCTATAAAACGAAGAAGGTGGCCTACAAGTATTTACAAATGTCTGAAGCATCTACACCAATATATGTTAATAAAATCAGGTCACCGAGGGAGATTCAGAACACAACTAGCAGTCCTAACATACACAAGTTGTTTCCTTTTTTCAGTAAAGCTCTTCCCGGATTCCTTATTTTTTCCAACCTTGCTTTAGCAGAAGTACAAATTCTGAATTATAACTCACTGCACTTTAATTCAATTTAATAAGCAACCTCTCTCTTCAAGCACAGACCCAAAGGGATTATTCCAAGGGACCAGGTGCAAAGAAACCCACTTCAGTTCTTTCAGAACTTATTTGCCTGTACCCACTTCTCTTTGCCATCCTTTCTTCACATTTACATGACAGATTGCTATAGTTTATCTATAGCACAGATCCTCCAGTTTAGCGAGTCAATACTCCACATGTACCTGCAGTAAGCACACGTGTACCACCAAATGTGTTACATCATACATGTACACACATATATAGCACATATACACACATAATCCGTGTAGCTTGACTTGCGTTTGACTCAACTCTAAACAGATTCCAGGACTTGGTCTATGACACCAGGCTCTGCTGGTGCAAGTGCTGTAGGGCAACCCAAATCCCTGGCCAGGCGAAGGAGATGGTTTGCTGATGCTATAGCTGCCCTGAGACCCAGCTGCTCACAGCCCTCAGCCCCACCACATCACACAGAGCTTTCGTGCACAGGTTATTCCCAGCCTTCCCCCTTCCTCTGGCTCCCTGAGGTATGCAGTATGTATCTCCAGGCTTTCAGCTTTTGCAATATTTTAACTAACAGGAAATTCTCCCATTTTCCTGGATAGAAGCCAGATTTGTATATTAGGAATGCAGGCCTTTATTTCCAATTCTTTCCTTTTTCAGTCATCCCTCCCTTCCTCTCAGGAAATGCCCAATTAAGATTATCTGGTTCATAGCCTCACACAACAGCATATTCAGTAGCTGTGCCAGAGCCAGAGAAACAGAAAAGGATCTACACCACCATCTGCTTAGGGAAATACTGTGCCTAAATTACTTCCACGACAGTACTGTAAACTCTGATAACCTATCAAAGTCAGAACAAAGAGTTAAATTACACAAATGCTTTTTAGGGCAAGGTAAATCTCCTAAATTGACTAATCCGGAATTACACTGCAGATAAATTTGTGGGGAAAAAAAATAGCTACCTTTTGATCTGTTTATTTTCTCATCTCTGTAACTTCTGAAGAAGTAAATGTAAGCTTTGGCTTTATTCATGGCAATATCCAAATATTTGTATTCGCAACACCAGCACTTCCAAACTTAGAAGATAAAACAACCCTCTTCAGTTTCCAAGCACAGAAAAAAGTCATATGTTTAGTAATAAATGAGATGATCCAATCATTGCCAGGAAAAAACAGGGCCTACCGCCTATGCAGTTTATTTAAATAGTACATAATGAAAATTAACTATAGGGATCCCTTCCTTCTCAAGGGATGAATACTTGTACTTGAGACAAAAAGGGGGGGGAGAAACACAAACGGCAATAACAGCATCTTGATTCAGTCCCTCCACACAAAACCCACTTACTCTA